GTTGAGTACATTACGTATACTCGTATACCTATTATACATATATATGTGTGTGTATAACATAATATATTTACTAAGTTTTTTCAAAGGGTGGATATATCAATCTTAATGATAAATCTGGAGACTGGATTTAGTTTTAAAGGGGTTCGAGCAATGAGTGTTCAGCGTGGCGTGCTTAATATAGACTGACGTGGAGCGTATGCGAGTAAATTGCGAGACTGTCCATAGAGAGATAATTAAAACCTGTCACCCACTATTGAGAATCTTAAACTGTAATGCTTCCAAAACATAATCACGGTTTAATATTTTTGTCTTTAAATGTATACAATTTTGCTAGAATTAAAAATCACCATTAAAACCATCATACTTTTATGCCCTAGCATATACTAGCATGTTGATTGTTGGAATCGTTAGTTAATTACCTATACTTAACTTACACACATATATATAATCGTGAATATAAAATTTTTCGGATGATTTATAAGTTGTTTGATTGCAAATTACAATTTAAATTAAAATTAGCATCTATTTAGTATGATGGATAAGTAATCCAAACATTTTAATAACTTTGATATATCATATAGAATGTAGATTACCGAGGAAGTTTCGTCATATGATGCTATTTAGGCCTTAAAGATTTATGCATTTGTAGGCGTGAGACAATGGAGAAAACCGATTATCGAGTGTGTCATCGGCGGGTGTGGACGTTTTAATATAACCATAATATAAACAACAAAAAACTGAGAGGGAGTGAGAACCCGAAATAGTGCAACTAAAACGAATATTATTATACTTCACAGACACCCTTGTAATTATCGTCACCCCTGTTGTTGAAATAGGAAGTCCTCTTAGCACCTTCATGTTAAAAAGTTATGATATGGTATTTGAATATCTAACTATACAAACAAAAATGGGGGATGTATATTTGAATATCTACAGGAACAGGAAAGCACAGAATCAATAGTTATTTCGTTGCTTGATGTAAATTTCAGATTTGAATAGATTGACTAAAAAAATTGCTAATTTTTTTGTAYAMAAATATCCGGTTTTCAAAAATATTATTTTAAATCAAAAAATTTAGTAATCATGATATTTTTCATAAAAAATCATATATTAGAAATTATGATGAAAATCAATAGGTAGTAGG